GGGGGGGGGGGGGGGGGGGGGTGAGAGAAGGTGTGGTGGGACATAGAAAGGGATTTGCATGACAATAATGTTATTTAGACCTTGTAATAATTTGTGAATTTAATTTTTCATAATTATTGAATTTGTTGTTACATGTTAGTAAATTAGGTCAAAAGAAATACTACTCTTTGTATGATATTTAGANGGTGGGACATAGAAAGGGATTTGCATGACAATAATGTTATTTAGACCTTGTAATAATTTGTGAATCTAATTTTTCATAATTATTGAATTTGTTGTTACATGTTAGTAAATTAAGTCAAAGAAATACTACTCTTTGTATGATATTTAGAGAAGTTGGGATTCAACTATATCGAAAAATAAAATTTTAGTATAATATCTTATTTTATTAATTAATGAGAGGACAATACATGTAAAGTTATTTTAATACTTTTTATAATCAATGATTATATATGAATTAACCAAAAATCTATGACCATGAATCATTCCTTGGTATCATAAAATTATCCCTCACAATGAGGCCTGACAAGGCCACGAGATAGACTTTGGACATACACAGTTTCATTTCTCTGATGTTTAAGGGTGTTAATTGAGACGACCTATTCTAGTTCAGTTTAAAAAAAATTTGATTCAAGCTTGATTCGTGTTTTAAATGAGCTAAACTTGAACAATTTTTTAAATTCATTTTAAATAAACGAGCCTAAAAGACTTAGTTTAGACTCACGCTCGAGTTTTTTAAGTCAAGTTTTAACAATTTTTTAAACTCGTTTAAAAAAACAAGTTTGATCTCAAGCTAGCAAAGCTCGGCTCGATTAACAGCGTAGTTTGGAATACTTTTTGATACCTTCAATTTATTGTGTTGTAACTACCTACCTGAACTTGGAGAGAAAGGGATACACATGAATCTATCTAAATATGTAAAATAGTCAAAATATGGACAAATGGTTTGAAAATATTTCATTCTAATTTTAGATCTCTTATTTTTTGCATAATCCTCTGTTCTCTAACACTAATAAAAATGTTAAATTGGTTTGGGTATAAAGTGTGAAGTATGAAGGATGAGGGATAAAGGGTTTAAGTCAATGGGATACTGGCATTAATGGGGTATAAATCTCGTCAATGACACATATTGCTTACTAATTTTTTTATTTGTTCAACAGTCAGTGGTATTCGGACAAATTTATAAGTATTTTAACTAATCTCTTCTTCAGTCAAGTCAAAGATAAGCTATCAACGCTGAGACTAAAATACTCATGAGTAATTCCCTCATGACCTTATTCTAAGGAATTGTCAAGATTTGATCTCAGCCATATTATATCGCTTACTAGTGCTATTATTACTGTTGTCCTTTGTACTGCAATTTTCACCCACAGAGGTTCTCGGTGATGCTTGATTATGGGATTAGCTACATCTCTCTCGGGTACTAGTAGTTGGTATTGCTTATTTACAGTTGTTGAATGTTTTAGATCTATTGCAGGCATCCTGCAAAGTAGTCCTAGAAGAAATAGGGAAGTATAATAATCATCTTCCTACCTTCCCTTCTCTCCTCTAGGTAACAAAGTAATAAACCATAAAGTAATCACAAAGGAAGCAGTAGAGTGTGTTGAAAATAATTGGCACAACGACGATAGTTTCGTACACTTGATCGTTCTTTTTTTTTTTTAATTGACTTTCAATTGAAATGATAATAATGACACCTATTTTTGGAAACTACATGCCTTATTTTGAAATACTACTGCCTATAAAGATATCTCAATATGTTAAATTTTAGGACTTTTTGTCAGTCAGTTTTGAAGGATTGCTTAACTTTTCTTCCTAGTTCAATATGTGCAATCAAACATTATACAATCAATTAATGCATTGGTAATGTACAATTGTAACCGCAGCCACCTGTTTGTTGAAAGTATATTTATAATTTTCACACAGACAAACACAACATTCTGAAAAAAAGAGTAACTCTAGACTAACTAAGAAATTGTATAAAAAAATACGGATCAAATGATGTTACACTGATATAGTAATTTTTGTCGGCATTTCTTGCCTTCTTTCACACCTTCCAATGCCCAAGCCAAGTCCCTGTTTACCCTTGGTTTAGCATCAAAGCAGTTTGAGAGAGAGAGAGAGAGAGAGTTTTGATGGTGCTTTTTGTTTGCTAAAAGGGGCTAAGTGATTTCCAAGCATCTGTGGATTTGCATGTGTAATGTCTGAAATGGTAATTTGATGATATGAACATTTTGTTCTTTATTCGTCCATGCTTTGACCACTTGTGCAATTATTCCTATCCCTAACTGCTTATCTTAAGGATACTACTAGCTTTATCTGCCATTCCAATATAACTCTCTCTCTCTCTCTCTCACTCTCTCTCTGGGGATTGTAATAGAGATGATTTACTAAGTATAGGTTTTTTACTTCAATGGAAGTACCCCTTTTATGTTTTGCATCATCTCATGGAGTGGACCCAACCACCCAACCCAACATGCTCAATAAGACCCACATCTGATCCCAACCCTCACAACAACAACAACCCTTCATTCATGGAAACCTTCTTTGCCATTAAGATCAGAGTCTCAAAGGTTGTGAGGGGACCATATATGGTGTTACAATTCACTTGTTGTGTGGCAGCATCCAATGCTACATCTCATAGCCTACATATCCTAACACCTTTTAGTCAATTAGATTGCATTGCTTATACAAATTGAGCCCGGAATAATATTAATTAAGTACTCAAGTTCAAAAATTAACCTCTCACAAATAAGGACAAGAATTAATGTTTATCGGGTATTTCTCTCTTAGACCTTGTTATTGTTTATGCACATAGATTTTACTGTTGGCTACTATAAATGCATTATTCACATGAATTTAGCACAACATAGAAACTAATTAGTCAGCAACACCAGCTACTATGCCATGTTTATTTATTGAACGCCATTGTTTTTATAAAGTAATGTTTTGGAAACGTACTTTTACACAGAAATCCTATTTTGAAAACATGTCTTCAATGTAACAAAACCTCGAAAGTGTGTTTTCGAAATGCAACTTAATGTAGAAGCATGTTTCTGAAACACGGCTTCATAGAATTAACAGCAATTTGATAAATAAGTTTGAAATTATGGTGTTTTGATTAACAAAAAAAAAGTTGTAAAAAAGGTAGAAGAATAATGGATTGAAACAACTACAATCACCTAGGAACTAGGAAGCCCCTGCACAGAATCCTATGAGGAAGACAACAACTTGTCATTCTTAAAAATATGTCCTTGGTTGAATCTTTCTTTCGGCTTGTAGATCTGAAATGTTTGGTTCACATGATCCACCAGCATGGTCTCTCTCTCTCTCTCTCATGTGCGTGTTTATACGAGCGTTGTGTCGTTGTTCCTCAACTGATCAGTTTCACCGTAGGTGGCTTGAATGTGACATTGCCTATGAGGAACTCCTATCTTGGGACCTCTAACCTTTGCTTCTCCTACAACATGTGTTCTACATATTTGGAGGAAGTTCTCTAGATGTGATACTGTTCCTATCCTTCTGAGCTCGTCTGAATGTGCACATGCGATTATACTTCACAATGTTTTTATCTCAGATTTTGTATTATGGTTCATCTGAGAGGGCTTGTCTGATGTGAATTTCTTTTCCAACAATCCTTATCTAACATAGAATTATGGTGATTACCATCATCTGCATTACATTATAATAATGACCCTTTGAAGTCTTTAAAAGCTTTATGGGGTATGATCACAAATTGTTGTCTTGAATTCAAGGTTTGGACCACCAAAGGCATCTGTTCAAATGTTGCATTAACACTATAAGATGGCTCCTTAAATTCAGCAATACCCTTGGTCCCTTTCAAGTTCTTGGGTTATATCGATGAGTTTAAATTTTGTCCGGCTTCTCTGTTGAAGTGGTGGTATCCAGCTGGTCAATAAGGAGTTGACAGGTCAACATTCATTAAAATAAGGATTATCTTAACCATTGAATAGGTAGTGGATCCCAATAAATGCTGGAACCTACAGTAAAAATCAATGGTTGAGATTATCAAGTCTAATTTTTAAGTCTATTTTTTGAGTCCATGTAGCATTGCTCTTTCTTTATGAGTAATGGTAGATGGATTTAAAAATTAGATTTGATAATCTCAACCATTGAATAGGTAGTGGGTCCCAATAAATGCTGGGACCTACAATACAATCAATGGTTAAGATTATCAAGTCTAATTTTTAAGTCTATTTTTTGAGTCCATGTAGCATTGCTCTTTCTTTATTGTGTTGTTATCGCATATTCGATTTTTGATTTTAAAAAATAAATATAATTGAAAATAAATAAAGAAAATAAAAGCATGAATTGGTCAAAAGCAAGCATGGACATTGCTATCGTAGAGAATGTGTGTCCCACTAGTTAAAGTTGGCATGGTTTTCAAATAGAATCCACCTCACTCGTTACACCACTACACCTTGACACTTCGAAAATTATTATTTTACTATTTATTTTAATTAATAGTAGTAAATCATTCAAATCAAAATCAATTGTTGGATTTGAATTTTAACACGACATTGAACCGGTACAATAGCTTCATCCTTATATATAGTTATCTTGTTTTAGGGACAAATTACACTTAGACCCTCTAAACTATGTACTCGATTTCATTTTCTTCTTTAAATTATTTGTCTTTTCACATTGTATCTTCAATTACTTGAATTATTTCACATTGTCCCAATAACAAACATACCCTCTATCTTTTTGAACAAAAATTACTAACATGTTAAAGCAAAGAAAAAGAATGTACATAGTTTGGACGTAAAATGAAACAATTTTCCGTTAAATTTATAGCCAACATTGGGTAATGTGAAACCAATCACATAAACTTCTTTTTTCATTTGTCTCGGTGTGTGATTGTTTTTCATATGCTAAGATTCTGAC